TTTCTTCAGCATGTAAGGTGTTACAAGTTCTGAAAGTATTTATAATTGTAACCAAAGTTTAAAATTTAATGAAACTGACTATTAAACCACAAATGCAGAATTAACATTGGAATGYTTTTCTGAAGTTCTGCTAAGTTAATATCAGAAAGCCAAATCATTTACATTCTTAGAAAATTCTCAAGCCACAACCATGGCTTGAGTAGGATAACTTTCTGCTGAAGACACTGTTTATTATTGSCTGATGCTGAATACCATTAACAAATGATAATGTTTATGCACATTTCTGTGTTCCTTTGTATATTTTCCACCAAAATACCTCATAAACAACTGAATGCATTTTAACTAAACTTACAGAAAGTRATCAGTTGTAGATTTATACTTGATTAATTGACCTAGAATTTGGTGTGTAGCTGAAAACTAACACATAATCAGAGCATTAATTGATTTTACTTTGTCTTTGTTTAAAACTGGAGTCCATTTCGTCTGCCTGTCTGTTAGCAAAATATCTCATAAATTTACAGATGTTGGTGCAATTTTTAGAAATGGTAGATTGGATGTACAGATTGGTAGGTTTTTTTACTTTATCAGAAGAAGCTCATCAAGATTTAAAAAATATCTAATTTACTAGATTTCCAAGACTTGACAGGCATAATAAAAATTATTTAATTTCTCATCAAAAGACGGTGAATTAGTCAAAGGAAATGGATGATATTCATTTATTTATTGGTTGCTAGGATTTTACTTTTAGCGAGAGAAAATGGCAGCTTTTAGATTTCCTTGTAGGGTGGTTTTTTTATCTAAAAAAGAGAGAGAGCTATATGATAAATGGTATGATAGACGTAGGCTAGCTTCAGGTTTCATAGCGATGAGACACAACCAACCAGTCTGCCATTTGCCCGGCTTTTTGAATAGTATTCAGAACTGGTTGTAAAGCAGCCTGGACCGAGGTTGATTCTAATTTCCCTTCTCTGCTCCGTCTGGGCTTTCTCTCACAGACGAGGTTTTCTCTGATAGAATTTGTCAACTTTTTATCCAATTTCAACCAATCAGCGAACAGAAGGAGGAGTTGTGAATGACGACAAGTTCAGCATGGCAGTGGAGGAAGCATAGTAACATCACAAAGACTTTTTTACTGTACTTAAAAAGAAAATTTGGTTATCTATCCTTTACTTGAGTAATTATTTTTCAGATGACTTTTTGTTTTATTCCTTACATTTTCACACAATGGTCTACTTTCTACTACTTACATCAGGGGTGCCCAACCTTTTTTGAACCAAGAGCTACTTTTGAAGTCGGCAGTTTGCCGAGATCTACTCGTCCAGTCTCAGTATCAAAAAAACATAAACATGATTTTTCATCTCCCTACTCCTCACTTCTTTAAAGTAAATAAAACAGAAAGTAATGTGTTGCCAGCAGGGGTAGACATAACCATTGTTTAGGTTGTCCGAGACAACCTATTTTCATTTCAGACAACCAGATCCTGTCTCCTGGTTGTCCGGTGGACAACCGAGAAAAAAAAAAGACCTTGATTAAAGAAGTTTATGAATGTTGGGTAACTTCTAGAT